CTCTCTCTCTCTCTCTCTCTCTCTCTCTCTCTCTCTCTCCTTCCCTCTTTTTCTCTTTCACTCGCTCTTTCGTGGGGCGCAAGACACAATGTCTCTCAAGACATAGTGAAAATTTCCAACGAATGATTTGCGGCTAGCGCAAATAGGTCCTTACAGCTTTGGTCATTACTTCAGGTCGAGTGACCCGCGTGAAAAGAGAAAGGGATTCAGCCTCCTTTTGGCGACATCTCTCTGTCTCTCTTTCTCTCTCGGTAGAGTTCCAGAATCGCAATCGGCTCGCTCGCGTCGATGGTTCCTCAATTTGTGTACAAATACCCAAGACGCGTTTGATCGACGTCCTCTTCTCGAATTTCCTCCACCGCGCGGCTCAGCGTGGAGTTCTCTTATTGTTAGGGTGATGCGATTGTGACAACGTTACGTTATTAAATATAAACCACGCACGACAATCGCGTGCGCGCGCGCGTCTGTATACGTATGTGTGTATTCGTGAAAACCTCTTAAACACTATCTATCATTAAGCATAGCGTTTATAGTTTAGCACAGCTGTGAGCAATGGTTCTTTGGAATGGCACTGGGTATCTGGAAGAAAAAAAAGAAAGAGAGGAATCAGAAAGAGGAGAGCGCGGAAAACAGGCTCTCGGAATCTCGCCCGATCTCGCGAAGCGATACACGTTCGCGGTTTTCGCGGCTAGATCCCTCGGCCCCGGATACTATCTCCTACACACCAGATCGACACACCGCACGTCGCGGTGTCTCTTAAAATACAGCTATGAATCATACATTGCGCTTGAAAGAGTTATTCACAATAGTCCTGTGTCATGCTAATTGCGTCAATGGGCATCGACAAAGGGCGGAATCGTAGAAAAGCCACGTGTGCCCGGAGCGATTTCAACAGTAACCCCCTTTCTCTCTCAAGGGATCGTGGCAACGCGTCTGTCTGTGTGTGTGTGTGTGTGTGTATGTGTGTGTGTGTGTGGTGAGAGGGAGAGAGAAAGGGAGAAGGGCAGAGAGATATTGTTCGAAAAAATTTTTTCCAAGCCACCCGAGATTACATCAGGCGCGCGATTATCGGTTTATCGGCGCGTTCCGCGCTTTTATAATAGCGACCTTGCTTATTTCTAGCCGCGGCCAGGGCTTTTTCGCGGGGGCGGAAGAGGGCCGCCCGCGTGTGCACGCAACTGTCGTCGAGTCGAGCGTTGGGGAAAAAGAGGAGAAGGAAAATGAAACGTATTTCGCGGTGGTCGCGGCAGCAGCACGGCGACATGGAGAAAAGTGACGTATCGAAAATCGCTTACGAGCGTAACCCGATGAAAGCGTGCGGCGAGTCTGTCGGTGACACCGAGAGGCGGACGTGTATCTATCGAAAGACCCAGCCGTCGCTGACTGTGGCGAGACTACAGGTACGCTCTCCTCCTGTAGCTGCACCGCGCTACACCTCCTGCACTCTCGGCACGAGACAAGGTACATGCACCCGGACGCACACTGGAGGGAAAAGAGAGAAAGATGAGAATTGAAAGGAAGCACGGCGACCGCAGCTCGGACGGCACGAAGCCCGCGTCCGTTGTCCGTCTCGCCCCGATCCCCTGAAACTTCCTGACGCTTCTCGGCCACGAAGGACGCGCCGCGAAATAGGCGTGCACACGGCCCGGCTCCGGCGAGGGAGAGCGGACGAGCGGAGCGCGAGCGAGACGGACGTAACCGCACGATCTCGAGATCCCCGATGGCTCCGTCGCGTCGCTCCGACGGCTCGGAGTGACAGCCGCGAGTGAAGATCGATATGCACTGTACACAACCGCTCGTTCCCGGCGACGGCGGCCAGGTCGCCGCGACAATGGCAGTGAAACTGACGGCCGTTCGAGCGACAGAGAGAGAGAGACGCGGCGAAAGCGCAGCCTCTGGTGGTGCACTCGACCCGGGCGTGAGCACGACGGTGCGATCACATCATTCTCTACCTATCTCTCTCTTTCTCTCTACCTGAATGGGGAAACGCACGCTGCCTCTTCCTCGGAGGGGAAGCCGCTGACTCGGTCCGTCGTCACCGGGATCTGGCCGCGTCGCGCGACGGTCCCGCGAACGCTCGCGGGATCCGGGAACGCTCCTCGGCGAGCGTATCCGTCGTCGTCGTCGTCGTCGTCGTCGTCGTCGTCGTCGTCGTCCGTCCGTCCGTTGTTCCCTCGTCGGCTCGGCTCGACTCGACGCGACGCGACGCGGCGCGGCGCGACGTTGACGCCGTGATGCGATGCGGCGCGACGCGACGCGACGTGACGGTGACGGCGACGGCGTGACGTGACGTGACGTTGACACGGGAGACGGCGGCCGCCAAGCGACGGACGGCTTCCTCTACGCTCGCGCGGCACCGCGACGCATCGACGCGACCGCTGGCACGTCTACCTGGAGCAGCGCGGGGTCCCGGGTGTGTAAATAACTTCACGTCAAACACCGAGTGTCGGCTCGTAGAGGAGCCATCTTGCTGGGCGGGTGGGCACACGCATCGCCCGTGAGCCGATGTTTTCCGCCCGGGTAGTAGAGCGCCTCCGCTCAGGGCCGTCGCACGGGAGACGGAACGCCAGGAGGGGGGGGAAAGCAGGGCTGTGCCGTACATTTCGAGATTACGTGTACGCGGATTGCGTGCGTATTTTCTGCGCGATGTATGCACGCCCCTTTTTCATGCAGGCTATGAAAATTCTGTCGGATACTGTAAATCGTATCGAAATATACAGACAGGGGCAGTTACCCTAGGGTGGAGCATAAAATCACGATGACGGCAGAATGAGGAAATGAACGAATCGCGATTGAGAAATTAGCTTTTCTGTCATTTTCTCGTCGTTTTGGCATCACTCTGACGTCATCGTGACTTTTTGTTCCGCTTGGAACGGAAGTTATGAAGCGGTTACTGTGTCTGCTTTGGTTATTAATTCAATATGTAACGTTTCAAAGAAGTAACACATGACATTTTTTCATCTTATTAGATGACTTTTACTCTGCAAGCGAGAATGTAACTGGAGAAAATTCTGCGGGCCCTAAGTTGAATTATAATTTAAACGTTTGTTAATTAATTTTGTGGCAAGCTATACGTTCTTTAAACGACATCTATAGATTACTCGTTGTCTACATAAATGACATCGCACATGATGTTTTTTGTTTACACACGTAGGCGTAGAATATCATAATTCACGCCCAGCTCCGGGGGAAGGTGTCTCGCGTTGTGCTTACGTGATCGTGTTGCGTAGACATGTGTCACGTCTTCAAATTGCTCGAATGCGTTTGTCTCTAACAAGAAAAGATACTTATTTTATTTCAAAGAACCTTCGGCTATGTTTCAGTCCTGTAATGCACTTTGGCTCTTATTTCGAGCTCTCTTTGGTCGATAAATGTAACCGAAAGCCAATCAGATTTATAAGTCAGAGACACTTTAGTCGACAGATACCGAATTACGCCTTTCTCTTTTCGTGATAAGATACGAAAGCAAGATTATTATATGCTTGACGCGCGTTATCAAAAAACACGGCTGTGTTTCGCGTCGAGTAAACACGCAGAGTGATCTATTTATCACCTGACAGACGAGTACAGATCCGATATCGACCATGCTGCTGTGACGTTCAGGTACGACTCCCGCGTGTCACATCAGGTTTGTTTTCTACTACTGAGCTCGCTGCATCAGCTTGCACTAGTTCTCTTCCCCTCCTTTTTCCATCAAGTCTCAATTACATGTTTCTTCTTGGGTTCCTAAAACGTGCAGTGGGTTGCAAAACAGTTTAGATGCAATCACAAGCTGGGAACTCACCCAACTGTTAAAATTGAAAGTCGTCGCCGACGGGTCCACAGTCCACAGCTATATTATTAATTATTATTATTAATTATTATTAGTATATTATTGTTATTTATTATTATATAGCATTCTTAATTATGTTGTTACTGCGCAAATCTTTCGGTAATAATCCTCAATTTTGACTGTTTGATGAGCTCCCAGCTTCATTGTGTGCTGAACCGTTTCGTAATCCACTGTACACTAATTAAGCGATAAAGATCAAGGACCGTATTTACTTGACGGTATTCAAACGCTGCTACGCCTTTCTGATTCTCAGGCTGAACAATTTTACACGGGACGCTCATATAAGAAAAATGGAACTTGGATTAAGAAAAGCGCACTTGGCGTTCGATTACGCGTCAGGAATACGATCCCGGGGGAAATCAAACGTGAATCTTTTCTCCTGATGTAAACACTGAAGACTAAAAAGTCTAACCTTGAAAATATACATGGAAATGTTCACTTTTCACGAGTTTACATCGGAAGGAAAAGATTCACGATCGTTTGCGAGTACCGGAGAATTCTTTCTTTTTTACGACTTCGTATTGAGAAGAAAGAACGCAGGATTGACAAGTGAGATCAAGTTGGCATGAAAGAAGATAAATATGCAATATAACGCTCTCATCTTGAATTTTTTTGCAAACCTTGTAAATTTGTATATTTTAACACGTAGAATTGATTTCTGAAAGCGAAAATTGCCGCTCATTTTCGTTTTCTTGTTTTTTTTATTTTAATGTTTTATGATGTCGGTAAGTAGGAAAATGATAACTTTCCTTATAAAACTTTCTAACTTTGTGTCAATGTGTCTAATTATTTAAGTTTTATAAAATGGTATATATGATTAAAGCAGTGAAAAACATGCATGAATTATTCTCTGCTTTATAACAGAGTTTATACTTTTCATTAAACCAGACTCGCAAGATTTCTGGAGGATGTCCTGAGGACGTTCTCAGGATGTAGGAACGTTTCGAGAATGTTTTTAAGATATCCTGTGAAGATTTGTGCTGTCTGGGTTTAATCAAAAGCATAAAATCTGTTATAAAGCAGAGAATAGTTCATGCAGACTTTTCTCTGCTTTAATCATATATATATATATATATATATATATATATATATATATATATATATATATATATATATATATATACACAATTTTATAAAACTTAAATAATTAGACACTTTGACACAAAATTAGAAAGTTTTATAATGAAAGTTATCACCACTTTCCTATTCTCTTACCGACAGCATAAAACATTAAAATAAAAGAAACAAGAAAACGAAGAATGAGCGACAATCTTCGTTTTCAGAAATCAACTCTACGCCCTAAAATATACAAATTTACTAAGTTTGAAAAAAAATTCAAGATGAGAGCGTTATACTGCATATTTACCGAAGAAGGATTCATAATAATTGATGGCTCGCGCCAACTGCAGCTACGGCCCTGATCCGCGCGCGCATGGCGCGTTCTGGCGGCCGGTCGGCGAGCCTCGCAGACGGGCATTCAGGAAATGGCCGACAGCAGAGACAGTTTGCCCGATAGGATGATCGTGAAAGACGGGAACCTACACGATTGCCCGATCACGGATCCAGCGTCCGACACGCAGGTAAATCGCACCGTGCTTTCATACCGCCGAGAAACCGAAATCGTCGCGCGCGCGTTCTCGCTCACGTTCGCGCTAATCCAACCGCCGTGTGCCACGACTGTCGTATTTGCCGCCGTTCTCACGACGAAGCCGTCGAGCCGTTTGTGCACGATCCGAAAACGCGTGGGATCTCGTCGACGGTGATGTTCGCGACTACGTTGAGGCAGTCCGTCCTGAAGAAACTGGTAGTCATGACGTTCGTCTGTGTGTCTCTCTCTCTTTCTCGCTGGCGTCTTCTCCTTTCGTCCCTCTTATTTACATTGGTTTCTTCTCTCTCTCTTCCTCTTCGCCTCTCTCTCTCTCTCTCTCTCTCTCTCTCGCATTTTCTCTGTTTGTCCCTCTTATTTACATTGGTTTCTCTTTCGTCCTCTCTCTCCCGCTTTCCTTGGTTCTGTCTTTACTCTCGTACCTGTCTTTCTCCTTTTCCCATTGTTTTCTTTCTCTCTCTCTCTCTTTCCTTCTTCCTCCACCCGTGTCTGTCCCTGTCAGTCTTCATCAACTTCTCACCTGTGTTTCTTTTGTGTATCGTCTCTCTCTGCCCAACCTTGCCGAGTCTTGTGACCACATGTGGTCGTTACGTAATCGGGCACATGGCATTAATTGACATGTCGCTCTTTGATGAATGGGCGTTGGTTAATAGCTATCTATTTGTATACCAAGTACACCGGGATCTCTGTTCACTGCCGCGCTACTGAGTCCGAGAAATTTCTCTCCAGCCGCTGGCTCTTCGTCCTGTTGTTCGTGTTGTCAATTGGACGGATTGTCCAGATGATTGAACGGAGGCGAAAAAATGAGTGGGTGGAAAAAATAGAAATGACAATTTTGGGTCCGCTTATAATTTTCCCTCTTGGGTCACTAGAAAGTCGTGGTAAGGTCGCGTACGAGTCTCAATGCGCGGGACGATTGTACATCATTTTTTATGCGAATCTGTTTCATGGCTGTTTCAGGCACATAACAAGCTGCATTATTACGTGTATCTCGTTAATCGAGAAATAACAATAGCAACTTAAAAAAAAAAGAAAATGTGTGAATGCATGCGGTTACACATAGTGCCTATGACTCGGCATACGAGACGCTTGTATATTATTTTACATATAGAGCATTATTCACACAGTAGTCCGTAGGTTCGGTACCAATCACTCATGCATCGCTCATAAGCCTAGACACACCATTTAGGCGTGGCACAATTAGCACTATGTGAATTGTGTTGAGTGCAATGAAGAAAGACAATTCAGGAGTAACGTCAAGGGAAATAATATCATCTGTCGTTGCGCTCGCTCGGCTTTCGATCACTTTCAACAGTCTGATTGTACCTCTCCGCTTCTCAGAGCATAATTCGACCAAGAAATTGCCGCAATGTTTGCAGTACAATCGGAAACGATTTGCTCACGGAATTATTTGTCGCGCTTGATCGTGATCGATCATCGATTCGCGCGACTGGAGAACGTTTCGTTCAGAAAAATTCTACGCGAGATTCAGAAGCGAGGTGAAAAGGAAAAGAAACAAGACTCACACAAATGTTAACGCGAGCCGCGTACTTTTGCGCGCGGGTTGAATCTTTGGGAGCTTTGTACCAAGCTACGGACTGTGTCGCGGACACCTGATGCATTTGAATCATGAAATGGTGGTTGTTGTGATTTCAGAGCCTAGAGGCATCAAATAATGCCTTTCACGGCCAGAGAACGAAATTAGTAAGTAAGAGTATATTTGTGTATATTAAGAGATACAAAGTATATATATATATATATATATATTTTTACAAGTATATATATATATATATATATATATACTTGTAAAACCCCCCTCTTCCCCGAACGCAATAGAGAACGATCCTGTTGCTACATATTATTACTCTTTATCCCTCAGGATTGCTTTGTCTTCTCGCTATAATAAGTGTCGTGCGTGCTGGTTAGTTTATCATTCTCGCCTGTCGTGATCAAATACGCACAGACTAATAACGGGACGATTATATTGTCGTGGCGGTATAATTAGAACTCGTCAGCTCTATCTTATCAAGCACTTCAGACGGAGCCGAGAGACGCGCTTGAATGTATATCTCAGAGTTTTTCCTGTTTTTTTTTTTTTTTTCCAATCTCGTCGCGCATCACGTTATCGGTACGCGCAATTTCAGATACGCCAGGCCATTCCCTAGATCAAGAGTTACTCAGAATTTCCTTCCAGACCTGCTCGTCTTCCTAAGAAGAGAATCGTGCGTCGTGACGGTTAATTATTCGAAGAAGCGGCAGCGACGTAAGCCAAAAGCAGCGGTGACTGCAGACTTCTTTGCAACACCTGAACAGCTAATATCTGTCGAGTGGGCCGTCGAGAAATTGATGCCAGGTGCAAATGGTGGGTAGTGGGAATGGCGACCATATTTCGGAAATGAATCGGTTGTTCAGTTCCAATTGATCAGCTTGGAAGCCAAAGTTCATAATATTGTCAACTTCTTTCTCTGTTTCGTGTGTACTGTACGCTCTTTAAGTCTTTTTTTGTACATACTTGTTTCGCCTTTCCGAAATATGACGGTAAGACTTACCTGTGCATCACGCCTAAATGTGCCCGATAGCAATCTAGGTGTTATATAGAGGTCTGTGGCGACGTGACACTTGGACAGTTTGACGCTTCCTTTGTGTCAGTAAAGAGGCTTGTTTGTTAGAGGCGTGTTAGGTCACACACGAATTGTCGTAACTGTAGACACAAGACGTAAACTTTAGCCGAAGGACCCTAGACAAAATCTTGCTATAGTTGTGTGTGTTTCAAAGGATAGAACTGCCGGTAAATTTAATCGTATGCAAATGTAACTAATGTCCGTATTGATAGTCGATACTTGAAATTTGCTTCACGTGAGATATTCAGATTCGAATTAAGACTTATATCAATGCTTGTTACTTGAAACTCGTTTCAAGTGAGATACTCAGATTTGAACTCAGAGTTAAATAAGAGGTCTTCAGTTGAATTACGATTGTCACATATATCATAATTTATCTGAGAAAAACTTGGATCTAACTCTGAGCAAAAATCTGAGTATCTCACGTGAGATAAGTTCCAGGTAACAACTATTAATGCAAATTTTAGAATTAGGTGAGAATTCTTCAGTTGTATCGCGATTACAAGTGTAACATCGCATATAATCTTACTTGAAAAGCCCTCAGATCCAACTCTGAATACAGATCTGAATACTTCACATGAGACAAGTTTCGAGTTGATTATTGATACGAACTTAAGATTCATAAACTAAGATCATTCAGTTACTCAAAATTCTACTCATAAAGTCGCTTCAGTCTTCTTCCAGTTAGAAGAGTCCTAAAGCAACATCCCGATCGGTTATTTAGCTCAAGTTTACGTCTTATGTTCACGTTTACGACGATTTGTGGGCGAGAGCTCTCACGTATAATCAACAATGGAAGCCGAACATTGGAAAGTGATACAGTCCAATTTAATGTAAGCCGATCGTAACACTTTTTGACATAAAACAGTTGGCTTATGTTAGATTGAATCGTATTGCTTTCCTGTTGTTTACGCGCAACATGTGAGCGGATAAACCTTCCTATACTGACGCAAACGCAACGTCCAGCTGTCAAAGTACCACAGCTGCTTGGCTTACTTCGCTACTGCTTCTTCGAATAATCAACAGTCATGACGCGTGACTATCTAAAAACGGACGCGGACTGCAAGAGAATTTTGAGTAAGGGCCATCGCACACAAAATCACATAGCTGCATGTGTATAGCATAAGACCGTCTCGACCAATGAACATATTTTATACAGATCGATATGGCAACTAGATGCTTATTGATTCAGGTGGTCTTATGCTATGCATATGCAGCTGTCATTTTGTGTGCGACGGCTCTAATTCTCGACCTAGAAAATGGCTAAACATACCTGAGATCTGAGTGTAATCTCAGCAGAAGTTTTTTTTCTATTTTTCCTCGAACGGCTATAAATCGTCCGTTATTGATCTGTGCATTTGTATTCAGCACAACGAACTAGCTTCATACGCACTCTTCAGTTTGTAGTTTCTTTCGACGCATCGCGGCCCTTTAGAAGAGAAACAGCAACGGCGGGCACCCTCCACGGGCACACGATCGTACTGACTGCCTTTCGATTTTGTAGGACTCCAAGTCCGGAGCGTTGAAGAAGTCCAGCCGCTACCGCAGCCGCTCCTTGTCGGCCAGCAGCACCGACAGTTACAGTTCCGGTACGAGCGTACAACTCTGTGAATACCGTAGTGGACACTGCATAGTGTGCCGAGATTTAGCATAGAGCGAATCTCAGTCACGCTTCTTCGCGAGAAACAGAAAACTTCTCTGGTAGAGCTTGCTTCTTCTTTCAAACTCGTCTCTCACACTCTAACGTTTCGTTTCTGCCTTTCTCTTGCGAGCGCAAACGTGTGTGATGACGACCACTGTAGAGATTTAGACATAGTCTCATAGTAGTGCGTAGCGGTGTGTGAATAACACTCTTTCTTAACGAACGCGCATTGTTAGCTGCCCTGCGCTAGGACGATAACCGCACCATGCACTTGAATGTGTTACTAATAATCGATGTTTTTCGGAATCCGGCGCTACTTTAGCATCTTATACAGGGAGCTCGTCCGATGAGGATGACGTGTCGCCGCGCGAGAAGATCCAGAAGACGGAGAAGGGCTTCACGGACTTCTGCGTGCGTAACATCAACCAGCACGCCTTCGGCCGCAGGGAGATCGAGATCGCCGAGCAGGAGATGCCCGGGATCATGGCGTTGCGGAAGCGCGCCGCCGATGACAAGGTGTGTGTGTGTGTGTGTGTGTGTGTGTGTGTGTCTCTTGTTTCGTTTCGCCAACGTCAGTCGGAGTCTCCTTGACGTTGAATCACGCACGAGCTCCTCCCGAGGGGGACTGAAAGAGAACGTCGAGCGAACATTAGCTCGACGAGATCGAAGGAGCGCGTCGAATGACCGATGCTTACCTTGTGTGTAGCCGCTGAAAAACGCTAAGATCGTGGGCTGCACTCACATCAACGCGCAGACCGCCGTCCTGATCGAGACGCTGGTGGAGTTGGGCGCGCAGGTACGCTGGGCGGCGTGCAATATTTATTCCACGCAGAACGAGGTGGCCGCGGCGTTGGCGTACGCCGAGTATCCGGTGTTCGCGTGGCGCGGCGAGACCGAGGAGGACTTCTGGTGGTGCATCGACAAGTGCGTCGCCGCTGAGAATTGGCAGCCGAATATGATACTGGATGACGGCGGTGACGCCACACACTTGATGCTCAAAAAGTACAATGCCATGTTTAAAATGATTCAAGGTTTGTTCCGCTGCCATCTCCTATTATGTTACAACATGTCGTGCGGAGAGAGAGAAAGAGAGATCTTACGACAAACAGACATTAAGAAGTACAGTAATTTCATAGTAATAATTGTGATTTAATTTGGTCAATTTGATAGTAATAATAATAATTCTCTTCCTAAATAACAAGGCTCCTGGTCCCTCGCCCATCTTGTACGTCTTAATTAATAACGTCAGAAGAAAATACACGTTGAAAAGTTTTGCAAAATACGTCGAAATGAAAAGATGCGTCTATAAAGTGACACTTGCAATCGATCGAACAAAACCCGTACAATAGTCCGAATACTTACCTTTTACACTGACGATCACTAAGTAACCGTAAAATTAACGTGACAAAATCATGAGAGAAGTTAGGTTAGAGAGGAAGGTTGCATCATATGTTACATTGATTGTACGGTTATGTACTGATTGTTTGATGAAAGAAAAGTGTTCGGACTATTTTCCAAGTCTGCTTGATCGATTACAAGTGTCACTTTATGGATAACATCTTTTTATTTCAACGTATACATTTTGCAAGAATTTTCAGCGCGTATTTCCTTACTGTTTCTGACGTTATCAAGCGAGAGTCGCGGAGAGAAGCCAGCAGCCTTAACGCTTGATTCGTACAAACGAATAACTGCGTATACCCATCTAGGAATTGTCGAGGAGAGCGTAACAGGCGTGCATAGACTGTACCAGTTGTCCAAGGCAGGTAAACTTGCTGTCCCGGCGATGAACGTGAACGACAGCGTGACGAAAACCAAGTTTGATAATCTTTATAGCTGTCGTGAGAGCATTATCGATAGGTAAGTTATACGGCGTCGAGTCGTGTCCACGAGGAAACGTCCACGAGAGACACACTCTCCGTAACTTACACATTATCCCGAGCACGCGCTACGTTCGTAGAGAGCTTTAAATACGCGTTCTTGTTGTACTTGTCGTCGCGCTCATCGGATTTATCGTTTTGTAGCTTAAAGAGATCCACCGACGTCATGTTTGGCGGCAAGCAGGTTGTAATATGCGGCTACGGGGAGGTCGGAAAGGGATGCTGCCAAGCCCTCAAGGGCTTGGGCTGCATCGTGTATATCACCGAGATCGATCCCATATGCGCGCTGCAAGCCAGGTAAGGCGCGCTCACGTTCAGGCAGCCAACCGCGGCCAAGTCCGGGAACAAGTGGCGAAGATCATATACATATATATGTGTGTTGTCGCATTTACAGCATGGACGGCTTCAGAGTGATGAAGCTCAATGAAGTCATTCGAAATGTAGACATTGTTATTACAGCGACAGGCAATAAAAATGTGGTGACGCGCGAGCACATGGACAAGATGAAGAACGGATGCGTGGTGTGCAACATGGGCCACAGCAACACCGAGATTGACATCGTATGTGTGCTAACCGACTACTTTTATCTTCTTTGTCACGTGCAGTTCATTTCAAAAGTTAAGGCTTCTGGTCTCACTATTGTGGAATCCCAAACTGATGACGTTAGAAGCGAAAAAAACATATGTAAAAATTTCTTGCGTGCTAATCCCAAGTAAAAAAATGTATGGAAGAACATTTGAGATTGCTTGAACTTGTAAAATGCTCGGAAAATTATCCTTTTCTCTTGACAGGCCACTTTAAATGATCATAAAATTAGCGTGACGTGCAACCTTCCTCTTTAAAACCTTTCTTCGTGATTTAGCTACTTAATCTAGCTAGTTAATTTTAAGGATATTTATTGACTGTCAAAGGCAAAGAATAGCTTTTAGATCATCTTATGTTCAAGCGATCTGAAGTGTTATTTTGTACAAACTTTTTTATTTGAAAACGACATGCGTTTTTTCGCTTCTGATGTCATCAATCTAGGTTCTCGATCCAAGATTGCGCAGCAATGGGACTAGGGACCTCAATAGTTGATTCTCGACCTGTACAACGATTCCCTTTCGAAGGCATAAAGTAGCTCGCTAGTCTCCTTATCTGTCATTGTCTAAGAAAAAGAAGCAGAAGGTAAACGAAACGAGATTAAGTTCCTTTTATGTTGCTCTAAACAGAACAGCTTACGTACACCTGATCTAACATGGGAGAAAGTGAGATCGCAGGTGGATCACGTAATCTGGCCGGATGGCAAGCGCATTGTTCTCTTAGCAGAAGGCCGTCTGGTGAACTTGTCGTGCTCGAGTATACCGTCGTTCGTAGTATCCATTACTGCCGCTACGCAAGCGTTGGCCCTAATCGAATTATTCAACGCACCAGCGGGACGGTACAAGAGCGATGTTTACTTGTTGCCGAAGAAAATGGGTATGTGTATACATTTGTAGAACATAGCCACATACATCTGTCTAATTTGGCATGCACAAACGGAACGCATGGAAATGTAATGTTGCCTGTTTAGACAACAAACGCTAAGTTAATAATGTCCACCCACAGATGAATACGTCGCCTCGCTGCATTTACCCACGTTTGACGCGCATCTGACGGAACTAACGGATGAGCAGGCAAAATACATGGGCCTCAACAAAGCGGGTCCCTTCAAGCCTAACTATTACCGGTTAGTATCAGACTTCAGGCTCTGGCACGTGAGCGACTGATTGATTGATTGATTGCGTGTGTGTGTGTGTGTGTGTGTGCGTGCGTGCGAGCGCGTGCCTGTGTCACCTACCTACTCTGTTGTGAATCTGTTTCAGCTACTAAAAACCAATGGGCGAGTAATGTGGCATTGACTAGCACGTGCGACACTCATTCAGCATTACACACCTCTTTACAAGTATTAAAACAGCCGCCGACAACCCGTCTGCTATACCGTTCCTTCCCCCTTTCCCCTCCCCCACTTTGTTCCGGTTGGCTTTCTTTTGTCCCACTGACGCCAAGTTTTCTTGTCGTTAAATCGATAGAGAGAGACCTTTTATTTATGGTTCAACCTTCGTGCAGATTCGCGCTGCGTGAATTCCGTTGTTATTATCCGTGCTAATCATCCGCAAACAATACGTTAATAACGTCGTAGTGAACACACACTTGATCCAACAATTATCCAATAATCGATATTAAGAACGACCAGAGCTAGGCTTATCTAGCAGAAAGAGGAAACGTCTTTTCAAGATACACGAGATACACTCCCGACACGGTGTATGTGTGTGTGTGTCTCTTGTCTCTTTTTAAAGATATTTGTTCCAAGTCCACGTATTCGCGGTATTGTGTGCCCAGCCATAGATATAATTTTAGATTTGCGAATCCGATTAACTTTCATAACAGTTTTCCTCTTCGAGATGTGCGAGTGTACAGTCCGTTATTGTTGAGATAAATCGAGAGAAAGAGTGAGAGTGCGAGAGAAAGAAAGAGAGAGAGAGAGAGAAAGACTCTGAAAAATTGTCAGACTACGCACGCAAATCGTTGATCGAATATTGTAGATAAAAACACGAGTGTATAGTTCGCAAAGCCGGAGAGCCAATTGGAATTATATCTGTCCATTAGATATACTACGTTCAATAAGTTTTAACACTAGTTTGTAAAAAATAATAACAAATGTTTTAAATAATATCGACAGAAGAGTAGATATTGTAATGTAAATCTGCTCCGAGAGCAGATTTCGTGGGAGATGCATTTTTAACCAAAAAACATAGAAAAATCACATCCAACCTCCTAAAAAATCATCTTAAGAACAATAAAAGAATCAACAAAAACTCAAATTTTCAAAAATCTCCCAAAACCATAAGCTACGCCGAGGACAAACTTTGTAGGAGATAAGTTCTGTATGCGGGAGAAGCCATTTTCAAGGTTACTCAAGAAACATCTGATTATATAGCTAATTTAAGAAAAATAATAAAATGAATAAAATTAACAAAAAACCCTAAATTCCTATTAAAACTCAATTTTAAGCAACTTTTCAAAATCTCATATTTTAAACTTTCTAAAATGTTGGAAAACACAAAAAACTAAAAAATCAAGCAAAATCACCTTAAAAACCATTAATTTTTCACACAAAACCCGCGTAATTCTGAGGACAGATTAATTGAGGCAAGCATTTACTTCAAGGACAAATCAAATTGGGACAAAGATTTTCACCTGAAAAACATCTAAAATCATACCAAAGCATCTCAAAATGAGCAAAGAAAGCTGTATTATTCACCAGTCTGTTACGAACTTTCGGTTCATGAATCAAAGAGGCGCAGGTAAGTTTTACTCCTTTTATCAGCGAAATATTTTAATAAGTCTACTCATAATCATAAGACAAGATTCGTTGCTATTTACTCTATCGAAGTAGAAAATATTGCGCATAAAAGTAATGTGCTTCACAGAGTGTTTGAAGCGTCAACTGATTAGCGAAGCTGATAAATACAAGGTTCTTTCGTTTTTCGTCTTGTGCTGCAACGAAATTAATTGCGTGACAGTCTGACAAGTTTTTAACAAATTTCACGTTAGGGTTACTCTACAATTGCGTAAGCGTGGTCGTAAATGTTTGTAAGTGATTACGACAACTAATCAGAATAAAATAATCAATGAATGAATTCTTATTGGTTGGCTCTTACGTTCACGACCACGCTTACGCAATTATAGAATGGCCTTTTTAGTGTAGATGAGATCCTTGACATTTCGTATTGCAAGTGAACAACGGATAAAAGGACTAATTCTATTATTTCAGCAACTTCAACTGTTGTAAGTAGTGTGTTCGTAGTAGAGAAATATTTTTCTACACACAACATACAAACACGACAGTTAGTATGTCGTTTATCTACACAACACGCTTGATATTACTAGTCATAACTACTCACATGAGCCAAACAGCGTGTATCGGAATCAATTGTCCTTTGCTTAAAACTGAGGAAGTGACAACGAATATCTCTTTGGGTAGTCTGATACTTCCCGGGTAAAAACTTACGCATCATGAGGTCTATTTACAGACCACATCATGTCTAGTACTCACGTACCGTCAAAATTACTCACATGAGCCTATGGAGAGTTCATCAAATATTCAACAGGAAGCAACGAAGGAAGTACTAAAATTCCTAAATATTGCAAACTATAATTTTGATACTAGTGAAAGAGACAGGGAAGTTTCAAAGTTGAAAACTGGGTATGAAAAAACGGAACTTTAAAAGAGATATTAAAAATAAAACGAAAGAAAATTCCAGCAAGTAATTATTCGAGTCGAAGAAAACGAGCAAAAGATTTTGGACTTGGAAACTATAATATCAGCTTCATTTTTACAGAAAATGGACTTAAAATGAAAGTTTTCTTGGATTTAGCAGTTTGATAGCATTTACCTCGACGAGAATACGTCGCTCGAATGCCCGAATCCTCCCCCGATTACGTTGTACACGTGTCTGTACACAAATATACGTTTGATTTCCTAGCGCGCGTTGCGTGCGTGTGCGCTGATAATACACGTTAGTCAATGAATTTATTGTGACCTTAACCTTTAGAGGGCCGGCATTTGAGGTACCAGTTTCCACGAAGAAAATCGATAAAAAATGTACCTTATATCGTATATTCATCGTATACAAAGTACCAATCACGGAGTCTACCACTTAAATGGTGGTTCCGACTCTGTGTTGGGATTCTGTAACTCGTTATTGGAGTTAATGACAGTTTCGTTATCGTTGCGCAGCTTTTGCATACCGTAGAAAAACGCGTTAACTCCAATAACGCGTTACAGAATCCCATCATTGGGAGGTAAAAACAATGTTAAAATTTTAAAATTTGAAAAAAAATAGGTTTTTAGAGGTTTTCGAGGTCGTTGAATAAGATGGAACTGTCAGTTTTTGTAAATTATGAGAATTTATAGTTATATCGTTATATAAGAAAAAAATAACAAATAGGGGGAAGGAGAGAGGGATGGGGAGGACAGTGGGTGCAAACTTGTATCTGAATGTGTGAATATCTATACACACACACACAAGTAGATAAGTGTAGAATATGAATGCAACTAACTGTTGTCTATCACTACTATAGTGGTTTTCCGGCCCTCTAAAGGTTAATAAAATAAAGTACACGTAGGATAATATATATTACAATACACATACATACATAATGCGCGCGGTGTGTGTTCATCATATAAACAATACATCAGCCGCGAGTATTTATGTATCATTCTTCCTCCCCCCCTCCATTCCGCCTTCCGGTGCGGGAACGCCGCCGTATCACGGACTGAGGAGAAACTACTTGAAAATTTAGTAGAACATAGTTTATTACACTGAAATATTTCATTTCACAGAAATAAATGTTATTTCTCAGAGATAAACTATATCCCACAAATTCTCAAGTATGTTCTTCTCATGTTCTTCCCAGATAGCACAGAGAATTCAAAAAGAATTCAGTCGTATGTCACCAATTCTGAGTTTATTTTCAGGTGCAAAAAGAATTCTTCAGAGTTCGGTGAAAAGAACTCTTTTTGCACCCAAAAATGAACTCAGAATTGGTGACATATGACTGAATTCTTTTTGAATTCTCTGTGCTATCTGGGTTCCCATCTCTATACGACGAAATCCGAAATCCGTGTACATAATTATTTAAGATGGCAGAACACTAACCACGAGATCCAATGAGCGAACCCTAGATTATTAGTAGCCTACTGATCAGTATCTGATGACAACTGTTACCCTTTCCTGGCGCGCGCGTGAAGAGCGAGATCGATTTGCATACACACCACTAGGATAGAAATAAACGTCTACCACAACTAGAGAATGAATTGTGTGCCGATTGTTCTTCTTTTAAACTTCCTCGTATTTCTCAATCAAGTAGTCGCCGGTCGAGAGAACGTCGACTCTCGCGGCTTCGGGAGAAGTCCTCCGATGAGCGTTGCTCGTCAGCTGAAAACGCGAATCCTTCGCGAGAAGACTCAAGTCCTAATCGATATTCACGTGATTCACAGAACGAATACGAGCGTATCTCCAAGTGGCTGAAGCGGGAGCCACCGGAATACGCGCGTATCGGAGAAGAGACGGGCGGTGTGGGCGAGAATAAGTATTTTGGGACAGCTGTAAAGATCGATATGGTGATGTTCCTACACGCGAATCGACGTGCAACGTCGGAGAGCTTCCGTTATAAATATGTGCAACACATCTCCACATATTTGCGGAGATACGCACGAGAGGAGGAGGCGAAACCGCGCTCCCTCAGTGCTGCTGGCTCAATGCGAACGCGCCGGCCATTTCGGTGATATTAATATCTCGGTTGCTTTAGGTGACTCATTAATATTCAGGACATAACGATTCCTCGGCGCCGAGATATCCGCCGAGATCGAGTAAGGAGGAGAATATCGCACAAACTCGCGCAGCACTGATGAACCCGCCACGAGTATAATATTTAATTGGTACGGGGATTCTCTTCATTCTCTTGTGCACACACACACACACACACACTCACACACACACACACACACACACACACAATCACATACATACAATCGGGGAAAAACAAGATTGTTTGTTCAAGTTCTTGCGCGTTACACGACACGCCCGACGACATATCGGCTAATTAGACTCGTTAGTTCAGGTAGTCTGTTATAAACAGAGCAGAGAAATGATATTCTGTTATTAGATCAATGAGCGAGCGAAGCATTTCCATGTATAATCGCGCATCAAATCTGATATGCAAAGGCATATCTGATCTGAATTGCATATCCGTGTTATTTATCGCGCAGTTCGTACATAGAGCCAAAGATAAAGATATGTAATCCGTGCGGTATACACACACATATGCAGAACCATACGTGTGTAGCGTTTCTTTTCCTTCTTTTCATAATCGCGCAATAAAAATGCGTAATTGACGTCTGCCAAAACAACACTCACGATTATTGCGCTCTGCCGGGAGAACTCCCGACATCAATGACAAAGTTACGCGGCACCGAGTGAGGGAAATCTCAACGTAACGATATCTCTCTCAGTTTCCTCGCGTCGGTGTCTGCGTATCTGCAATACGCGCGCACTTCGCACACATCACCGACGGGGTGTCATGCAACGCATTGAGTCCGGGAAGGAACGTACAGCGCATTTCGATATAAATGTTGTATATTTCACCTTAATGATTATTTATAAACTATTACGCGGTTCTGCACCGGCGGCGTTGTACCTTTTTAAAAGTTACGAAAGAATTGTTACGTTCAGCACGGACCTCCATGCGATGTGCGAGTATTGAAAGTAAAAAAGTAGCAGCTTTGGGCTCCAAGAACGAATAAATACGAATGGCAAGGCTTCGGCAGCATGGCATTACATAATGGCAATACAGTATTAACAGTACGGCCGATCGGCGATCGGCATAGAGGCGGGAGAAATTTGTACGCGATATAAATAATGAAACGGGGAAACAGAAAGAGAGAGAGAGAGAGAGCGAGACAGATAGATGACAGATGACAGACCGACAGACAGACAAACAGACAGACAGACAGACAGACAGACAGACAGATAGATAGATAGATAGATAGAGAGGAAAGCGATAAAAATATATTTTACAATACTCTGTACAAGATCTTTCTCGTTGGATAAATATCGAATCAGTATCGATGTACAATTAACGTGATATTGATTACGAAACAGTAGCGTGATCGTTGTATGTATGTTTGTTGTGTGCGTGTGTGTGTGTATGTGTACATGTCTCGGTATATGTAATATGACAATATAACATGTGCGATTCAGCACGTTTTGAATTCTCACGATGACGATTCCTTAAACGTTGATCAGTAACAATATGCACGTGCGGATAAATTGTGCCAACAAGTCGGCAAGTTTACTTCTCGATAAACTCCATCGTACTTCTAAAATCTGATTGTTAAAAAGTCAAGGGGAACTCGCGCCCGTTGGATAAAAGATCATATGTGTGTATGTGTGTGTGTGTGTGTATATATATATATATACATTTGTATATACTTCGCGTTGCTATGTAAGCCGTGTGCGGAATTGTTACATGTAAAACCTTCCTATATAAATATGTACACAAATTAATAAGAGTTCCGCTAATAAGGTCATTGCACTAAGATTCGTTTCCGTTGTCGCAACAATCGTTGTAAAAGGGAAAGAAAGAAAAAACAGAGGAAAAAGGAAACGTTTCGTCGGATTATGCAGAATGTAAAGCCTGACCTACACAATGTGTTCTTTGCTTGCTGTTTCTTTATCTCTTTCTGACTCGAACCTTGAACCTTAGTCCAAATCTGCAATCTGCTTCTCGTTCCCTTCTCTTTATTCCTTTCTGGCTTAAATCTTAAGTCCTTGACCAGAAAAGACAGAGAAGCAAGAAGCAGGAAGCAAAGAGTACATTGTAGATCAAGCTTTGAGCCAGAAAAAGATAGAGAACAAGAGACAGAAGATTGTAGATCTCCGAAAGAGCAGATTGTAGATTAAGCTTAAAAATAGAGGATCGTAATCCCTCTGACTCTGGTGACGTCAAATTTAAACAACATCAACGGAAACAATCCTGAAACATTCACTGCCCCGCGATAGTCGCACAGCCGCGATCTCGGTCATGATACATCGCTAAATCACAACACAGTCTCGGCTCGTCCCGATCAAGCTCGCTCGCGCGTTATCTTCGAGCAGCAGTGAAATCCACAAACGTACCTCCCCGCCACCGTTTCCAAGGTGGTGCCGGCAAGAAGACGCAGGTGTACGCGTATGCGGTTTCTTAAGAGTTAGAGTTCAGTCTTAAAAATAGTGTCCTTCCCTTCGAACACTCTGCTCAACGCCCACGGTCCTTCGACATCTCGCGTGTCAAGATCGGTCTTGAGTCGCGACGACGACGACTACGAACGTAACTCGGTCGAGATGATACGCACGCCGTCGCAACTCATCGCGATCGCACTTATTTCGTTCGTTTTACGCGCCAGCACAGCGACTGGCTCGTTCATCGTGAGGAGGAGAAAAACGCGCGAGTCTGTCGTTCGTTCACTACATTGTACTTGGCACAACCGTCACCTTACTGTACTGCCCGTCGGCCAAGTGGTTGGTCGTCGCCGGTGTCTGCTGCGACGACTTCTCCAGCTGCTTCTGAGACGGCGTCGGAGTCGGCTTCAGTTTGCCCAAGGGATTCTCGGCGAATGTGACGTAGCCAGTCTGCTTGGCGAAGACCGACCTGTTCGGTTCTACCTTGACACTTGGACTCTTGTCGTCGGCGTTGACCTTCTTCTTCTCGTCGCTCGTCCCTCTCGCACACAGCTCCGCCTTTCCCCGTTGCAGCTGCAACGACCGTATGGAGCTCGCGAGCGTGTACGGCTTGGACGAGGTCTCGCTCGACGCAGCAGGAATTGCGTGCTGGACGTAGGGCCTCCGTGGCGAAGACTCATTGGCAGCATGAGTCAGCGAGGGCGCCGCCATCTCCTCCGAGATCGACGACACGGCGACGTATGGTTTCGCCGACGAGGAAGGCAACTCTGTCAGTGATTCGGAGGTCGGCCAAAACGACGTCGGCACGAAGGGCTTGCTGTGGGAGGCTGGCGACATGAAGGAACCGCACAGCAAGTTTCTTTTGGTTTCGACGATCGGGTTGAGAAGGTACTGTTTCTCCAGAGTTTCGATCAGACCGGTCTGTACGTATGGTTTGGAGATCTTGTCAGCATCGTGGTCCAACTGCGACGGCGCTTGCGCGTCCGCGTTATTACACTTGTCTGGCTCGACGAACGTCAGTTCGTCCAAGTCTAATGAATCGATCGCATGCTTCGGCTTCTTCAGTTTCTTGTCTAACGCGGAGAACGCGATGTATGGCTTCGAGGACTTCGCCGTTTCCGCTTGAAGAGTTATAAGAGCGTCGCCGACGGTGACGGTTGGTCTGCCGACTACTGAGTCCTCGGGCTTGGCCTGCACGGGCTTGGGCATAGAGCCGACGACGCTGTAGTTGGCAATACTACCGGGGATGGGCGCAGCGAACGCATTCTCCCTCGGCACCGGGCTGGGGTTAGATGAAGCTTCCTCGGAAGACGGCATGCTGATGTAGCCGGTAGAGGACCATGTATGCTGCGACGTGGTACAACCCGCGCTCTCCGTCAAATTAGGTGTGGAGCGCGTCAGAGACAGTGTCTCGCCCAGCATCGGCTCGCCGGATTTGGCGACTTTCACATACGACTCCCAATGGGCGTTCTCCGTCGACCGCGCATTGCCCACGTTCTTCTGTCTCGCTCTCTTCGACTCCCAACTCGGCAGTGAATCCAGCAGCTTGTCGGGCGACGCCGGATCGGATGCCATGTCTGTGCCGCTGTCATTCGAAACCTGAGAGTTGGTCGTGAGTGAGGAGGTGACGGAGTCCTGAGCACTGGAACAGCCGCTGGAATCGGCGGACGGTTGTCGCATATGCTGTTCGCCTACGTTCGGGAGCAATTTCTGCGCAGACGAGACAAGTCTTACGTTACCATAGCGCGATTTCGGAGCACCGTTGCGTTCGCGGAGGCCGGCGTCGACGGCGTCGTAACCTCTTGAATGCTACATATGCGTCCGACGAAGAATCACTTCGGCTTATACTCGGTTCGACACAAGCAACCATTGTCAACTGTTGCGACGGGCACTTATGTTCATGTTCCGTTACATATTTTAGCGACGGCAATAAATCAAATTTTTCATTCGTCTCGGCTCGCTGCTTTCGATTTTTCAAGAGGTTTTTTTTTCGTCGATCGACGCACGACATCTCAAAGTATTCAACGATCGTTTAGTTCTGAAGCGCTTCACACTCAAAAGGTTAAGTGCTGTTTCTTGGATAGACAGATTGATCTCACTTACTATGTTCGGAGCGAGTCCAGGCGGTAGTTTCACTTCAACGTCTTGCATTGCTCTACACTTCGACCATATCCTGCAAGAAAAATGGCACAATGTAGTGAGTGATTGGAAAAATTGTAACGGAACAAGATAAATTCTTCACGTAACTCTTAGCCGAGACTTACACATCTGTAAATTCATTTACAAGTGCATAAGACTCGCTACGACTAGCATATATATATATGTGTGTGTGTGTGTGTGTGTGTGTGTGTCTCTCAATCTTATACTTTAATTATATTTTATTTGTTTCTTTTTTCACCTTCTGGAACTGTATACAAGACAACCAAAGAGAACTCCGATGCCGATGATGCTGGTGATACATATTATGAGCCATGCTGCAAAGGACGGTCCTGTTACATAAGGAAATTGTGTACTTGCTAATATATTTATTATACCTATGTATATTTTATCAAGATCAATATAATTATAAATATATTACTTAACATATCTTAAGAAAGAAATATATTTCTTGAGAAATCTTTCTTAATATATGGTTGAATACCAAAAGAACCAATATGTAAATACTTCAAGTTCATTACTCAACCCTTTGAATGCATATACGTGCTTAGATTTCGCTATGAAGAGTTCTCAAGAAGTCATTTACATATTCAGTTTATTAGCAATGATTTCAGTCGTAGATTTTATTGCTTAAAATGGTAGAACATTAATTTTGATTTCTGTTCTATTTGATATCATCGTCAGACGAAACGTTTTCCTTGACTTCCGGCCACACAGAACACTTTTGCGCTGCATCGCATTCAAAGGATTAATTAGATGATCTAAGAAATGACGTCAATCTTAATAATCTATTTTCTTTTAGAGAATAAAACGAATACACACCGTCGGAATGACAGTCCAAACCTACTGCACTAGACCAGGGCCCTTTCAACAGCGTTTCATTAACGACGTTAACAGCTCTGACACGGAAGAAATAGAATGGCTTCTGCGGATCGTCGACATCCTTGCAGTTAGGTATAGATAGTTGTATCTCTACAATACGAACAATGATATTCAAATAAACACTTATTCATATGAAAGTACATTCTCTTACAAAGACAGACTGAATCATATCATGATTCAAAAACATGTTAGAGATTTATAGCTAACAAAGAAAGCTGATGACACGCGACTCACCAATCCTTTCTTTCAAGCTATAAAGTAGCGAGCGTTATGCGAGATCAAAGATAATAGTTTTAGACATTTTTTCAGCGTTTCAACAGTAACGCAAGTTACAATTGTATACAAAGTGTCAGACACATAATTCTTTATACAATTAACGTGGCAGTCCATTATAATTGAGGATTTTTTTCACAAGACAAACAGCACGAAATGAAATAGAGTTTCTTTGTAATGAATAAGAAACATACCTCTAAACTTATAGTTAAATGCATAGTTCAACTGTCTCATATTCGCAAAAGATTAAAAGAATCCGTGAGTCACAAGTCAGTTCTTCCTCTTAGTTCTATAAGTCACCTGATGCGTTGGTGCGTTGAATGTGATTGTTGTCGTGCAGTAGTATCTCGTAATAATGCACCGGACCTCCGCTGTTCTTTGGTGGACTCCACTTAAGGATAGTCTCGCTGCCGTTCGTGAAGTACGAATAAGGCTTGTTTATCTTGCCAGGCACGCCGATCTCTGTGAGCTGCACTACCGATGTTAGGTTACTGCATGATATAGTGCAGGCGCGAACGGAGATGTTGTATATGGTGTACGGGTCCAGATTCGTCAGTTCGATACTGAGTTCCTCAACTCTTAACTGTTTTTGACCGTTGTTGTATTGCACCTCGTAGTATCGCAGTACACCGTTCATCTCCTTAGGTTGTTTCCATTGGAGACTGATCGTTGTATTTGTCACGTTCACAACTTGCAGGTCTTGCGGCGGGGTGCTAGGCGCGTCCTCGAGAGTGGTGTTGTACAGAACATCACTGCTAGTACCCTCGCCGAACTTAGTCAAGACTGTGACGTATAACATGTATGTGGTATACGGCTGTAGCTCGCGAGCGGTACCGTGTATCGTATGCGGTCCGGCCACGATAGTAATATTCTTCTTGGTGTTTTCTTGACATTGCAGCTTGTACGGCGATACGATAGGACAGTAATAGATGTTGAAGCCGTCGATGATGCCGACACGATCCGAACAGTCCAACTTCCAACCGACTTCAATGGATCTCGAACCGATGCTGTTGATCCATACGTCTTTCATTTTACTAGTCACTTTATTATGTATCACCGTACACGAAGCCCACACCATGCCGCTACTAATCTGCTCGGTGTTCGTGGAGATCGCGAATTGATATACCTTGGACGGATTAGACACAGTTACGTTGTACATGGTAGTGTTTTTCGGCACGTGTACCCAATCCAAATAACCCTGCAACCAACAAATTGCTTAAATATACGCGCGTATCTGTCGAATGAAGTAATACTCTAGAGTGTAATTAGAAGAAAAATACATACAGTACATTGGTAAGGACGATCACGTGTGTCTTCGCACCAGTAGATCGTGTAATTCTTGATGTTCTTCACGACTGGCGGCTTCCAAGACAACTCGTACAGAGTCTCGTTGTAAGCAATTTTTGTAAAGGCATTCGGTTCAAGTGAGGAGACTAAAATTTCATGATGATTATATTTCACCGTTACTTTGTATCTTATTGACTTTTAATCTTTGTTTTCTTTTTGTTGTACTCACTTTCGGTTTGAGTTGGTACGATTAGTTCGGAGCGACCGTTGCTGGGGCCTACTTCATTTCTTGACGCGACCCTGAATAAATATTTGCTGTCTGTTGTGATGGTGTACTTGATAAACGCGACGGTGGAATTTTTATTTTTGAAATATGGACTATTGATGCCGTTCTTCTCTACGTGATCGACCTCGTACATAAAGTTCTCCCCGTTTTCGTGGTTCTGAGGTATCCTTTGCCAGTACAAGAACACGTCCCTGCTCTTGTCATCGATTTCTGTGATCTCAAAGCTACCGATGTCAGTTCGCGGCGGATAACTCGGCGCTGAAGTCGAAGAAGCGATAATTCAATCATACGACAAGAGAGGACAGAGTGGATTTATAATTGTATTATAAAGCAATTATGATTTTATTTTGCTCACAAATGTGACAAAAGATAATGAAAGATGGATTCTCATGCCGACTCAAAATACACTTACTGCTTGACGCTGTTCTGAACTTAATAATACCGGGTTTGCTCCACATATGTTCTACATCTGGAGCTGAAGCGCTCTTCAAAAGAATGCGGACATCAAACTCGCAGAAGCCACAATTTAGATCGGTAAAGTTGTAATCTTTGTGTTCCTCACGAATCTTGTCAGTAATATTGATAACCTGCGGACAACATGTGATAATCGTTATCGTGGACAGTTTTATATAAAATTCCAGTATCACAGAATTGTCATTGACAAAATACAAAAGCGCCGTTTATGATATAAAGTTCGTGTCTTACCGTCCAAGTAGCATTTTTGCTATTGCTATGTAATTGATTCTGATACATAATTCTGTGATGCACGCCGACTGGAAGGTTTTGTAATGGGAAGGGCAGACTCCATATTAGCCTCGCGCCGTTCAGCGTTATATTGGTTATATGCAACGCCGTTGGGCTGTGTGGAATAACTGAAGCAGCGATATAACATTGTTAATGAATGCCACACATTTCGTATAGGCAGATTGTAAAAGGATTGGACACTTTCCAAAATTGATCGTATGCGGTGACAAGCGAGACGCGAATCGAGCATTTGCGAAATTACAAAAATAGCACACAGTGGCACAGATCATTTTACAAATTGGTCTTGATAATGTATACGCATGCGACCAAATTGTTGATACATTTTTGGAACAGTTAAATTCGTGAACTCACTTGTACACTCACACATGTGGTGACGTGACATATTTTCCACACATTTAATTTAAATATATATTATTTAATTTGTATACTCTATAATTAAACTTCTATTCTAATTTTATCTTTTCACACTAGTAATAAAGAGAGCATGCCTATATATAAGATTTACATACCGTTCGAGAAATGATCTACTTTATACATGAAGCTGGTGTTCTCGAAAGGATTGTACGCGAACAATATAAAGGTGTACGTCTCATATGGTTGTCTGTAAATGGGATTGGTCTTCGTGTCCCAATAGCACGAATTTTTATCGGTCGGGGCAATAATTTGTCTTGCATCAGCTTTGCTTGTTTCGTTTATATCTTTCGGACAAGGAAATAGTTTCCGGCTACGTTTGCCAGGCAATGTAAAGGTCAGGTTGTACGTGGTTTTCACAAAATTCTGCACTGGTTTCCACGAGCAACGCAGATTCTCCCAATTATTGGACACACAATGGAAGTTTTCCGGTTTTGAAGGTCTGTCTGTAAGGAACAAAACAAATAAGACAAATTAAATAAAATACAATGCATAAAGAAAAAGATATCAATTACTTTAAATTCATTACACAAGAAAAAATTACTTGATATTCCAAAAACTATAATCTGCTGAACGTAGGTAAATAGCAGGTATGCTAAATATAATTTTATATTGTATATAGCATGTCTGCAGCATTGTTATTTTCCGCATAAAAGTAACATACAGTTCTACGGAATGAGAAATGTGTACGCAACGAATAACTTTTAACAGTCTCCCTTTTCTAGTTATCTTTATTGCTCATGATAATAAAACGACTTCTAAGACGCATTATATCAAACGATTCACTCATGATTCTAGCGAAAAGGGAATCAATGCGCAATGTTGTCTCCGTAGAACGTCGTTGTGCTGATAAGAATGAACTTGTGGACTGGTTACTGTACCAGTAGAAAGTTCATATTTCACATATGCGCAACGATTCTCAAATGTACAATATTTATTCAGCCTGTATAGTGTTGAATAATGCACCATATATTTTCTATACGATGAAGTGAAAAGTAAACGTGCATGCAGCGGACAATTTATACAACATAACATATGCATACAATCGGGTATTATGTGCGGACTCGATGACGACTTACGTCCAATCGCAACTTCGTTGAGACAAACTGCTACGTTATGTTCGTCATTGTCGTCTACACGTAAGCCGCAAGTATAAAGATTTTTGGAGGGCTCCGGATTTCGTATCTCCAGCAATATCGCCGTTTCGTTGATTATGGTGATGTACTTTTTGTCTACGAAGTCAAATTCACGTAAGAAATAGAGATCCGCGGAGGTTTTGCCCGGGTACTTTTCACGTACGCGTTCCGGGTCTAATATACACATGATCCTCAGCGGTTTCGTGCCATACTCGATGTTAATGTCACCATACGGTCTAGTCACTGCAAAGAATAGTAATATTATAACAAACGATAGTAACGATAGTAACAATAGTAATGACAAAAACTATACAAAATAAAACGCATTGTGTAGTCCAATAAAAATACTGATTATTATAAGATATACACCGATGCTCTCCCTCTGAAATATTTTCGTAAATAAGTGGGCAAAGTCTACAAATGATACGACATGGAAGAACAGGATAGTTGCGCGCGTGGTATACCCTCCAATTTCGACGTGAACTGTACCGCTGGCGCATTAAATATAGATACATGCATTTAGCTCAACAATTCCAAAAGGAGAGATAAGACGTATGTTTTATTTATAATTGTAGCACACACCAAGCAGGACGCGTACGCGCGCGAACAAGGGCCCGGGGCTTTTACGTTATGCAACAGATGTGTGTAGCGGCTTAAGGAAAAAGTGCTGTTGTTAACAATTCTTTCTTCGCGACAATCACTAAAATGTAACATGTGTATATGCGCGTGTACGCGTATTTAAACAAGTGTCACCGAGTATTGAGGTCAAGTTCTTAAAAATTGTACATGCATATATATATATATATATATATATATATATATATATATATATCTCACAGAGAAACGTACCTCCCGGTGTTGACAGACCCTGTCCACAGGGTAGTTTACTTATGGGTGTGCGCGTATCTATATCCAAGTCATCTATAAAGTCTACGTGATCCGCGTAAACTGTTATACGCATCATAAAGAAGAGAATGCAAATGAAACAGAAAAATATTCGTGGCAAGTCGATACCCCATCGGTAATCGTGTCTCCAGAGATTTTGTGGCCGGAACACGCGGTGATAGCAGCTCCCTGCTATCGAGTAAACTGACGAAAATAGATGTGAGAATATCCTCGCGTCGCACTCTCGTCTAGGACTGCGACTTCGGTGGTGCTTCATTGTACTGTAATTGTACGCGGGACAATCGTGTTCCTGGCTCGGCGAGCATCGATCAGTCGTCGAAAAGGCACTAGAAGACGGCAAGGCGTTCCACGACAGGCGAGCCGCGTTCTCCAGCTCGCTTCCTAGCGTAACGAGTACGTCGTCGTCCTTTCCCGACGAAACGGTCCTGCTGAATGCACCGTCGCCGTTGCATTTTATATAACTGTTGCAGGCGACGGGCGACTTCAGCGACATGACATCCAACGCAGATTGGCATTCGACATGTCTCGTTGTTGAGTTCCTTTGCCTACGCGATAGGTTCATTTCCTCAGGCACTCGTGTCGGACGTACATTGATCGAAGAGAACATCGTGCGCTCTTATCACTGAAAAATAAATAGATTCAGTACAGAATTTCGAGATTTGTGTTAACTCGGAGTGACAGGATTACGTTATTAAATTAATTATTTCTTAAACGCTCTCTTTCTCTCTCTCTCTCTCTCTCTCTTTCTCTCGTTTTCTTACATTAAATTCTAAGTATTATTGGCACACGTTATGTAATTTGTATTATTAAAATCGGAAGGAATTTAATGGCGGTTCGTTCCGAGTGAATATTAACGAGATTCCGCTAAAGTGGCCAAATATTCAGTTTTTACCGGGACAGGCCTGACTTTTCGTCCTTCGTTTCGGATCTTTTCGACTCAGAACGTCGATTTGTCCCAAATTCGGCCAGTTCCCAAAACTGTCCAGCTTTATCCCGGTTCAGAGGACTTTTAAAATATTTTTGGCAAAGAAAGATTTTCAAGAGAGCGAAAATTCGCAGCCCTGATAAATACACACAGTGTCTATGCCTCTTTAAGGCATTGTTTAAAAAATTTTGAGTAAGAAAAACAAAAGTTTTATCTAAGCAAAAGTTTCTATTTTTACTGAAAAACATTTTTCATATGTCTATAAATAATATATTTTCTCGTTTGTGTATATACAATTTTCAGTGACCTCCCCCCTTCCACACATTTATGAAATGTCCCGGATTTGAGACTGAGAAATCTGAACACTTTAGATCTTTAGGTCGCACGAAAACGATGGGATATCGTACGATCCGAATTCGCTCGGGAAGTTCAAGCTATGAAGAATTAAAACGACGAATGTGGGTTACGCTCGTTATCCTACGGAATTGAACGAGACGTGAGAAGACAGCGGGATGTGAACCGTGACCAGGCTAGGGCACAACTGATCTGCCGAGAGTGGTCTAGGAAACGTACGCGTGTACATACTATGTGGACGTAAGTCGCGGGGAAGAACGCATCGTTTATAAGTGAATTTGAGGTCGTGACACGCGGAGTAGTTACTTTTTACGGAGGCGCTGCAGCTTCCAATAACTCGTAAACTATATTTTGTTATCATGACGATAACATAAACTCAACTTCACACAACGGTCAATAATGTTTCTCTTTATGTCGAAGAGAGAGAGAGAGAGAGAGAGAGAGAGAGAGAGAGAGAGAGAGCAACTCATCTTCTCGTCTCTCCTCAATGCACATTCAAGAAATAACATTGGTAATTTCAGCGGATACGTCTAATTATAATGATAAATATGTTATAAAGATAAGTGCTGAGTGCGTGTAAATTCGACGGTCCCGAGTTCGTATCGTTGCGAAATAAATTATTCATGACGCTTCTCTTTGTTGCGTAACGATCCGATAGCGAAGTAAGATTTTCGCGAACGTGCCGAACGGCGTTTTACGCAGATGTATCATTACTCGCGCGAGCACAACAGGAAAATCCAACGCGATTTCTTTCGAACTTAGAATCGTTTCCTTCCGTACAGGCATGATAATTTCATGGAATATCTCCGCGAGCATTTAGCAGCGGCACAAACGATCAGTCTTTCTCCAGGTACTACGTCACGGCGCTTCGTGAGCTAGAATTACGCAACACACACATTTCGGAGCATTCCGGCGGGAGATACAGAATACATAAAAAAAAAAAGTAAAAGTACACGGAAAAAAAACAGTACACTGAGAGAAAAAAATACTTAATCTAACTGTATATATATATAATTATAGTTATTTTTAACCGTTATTTTAATTATTTTCGAGGTGTTCTGGAATAATCTTCTCTCTCGAAGTTCTGGTGGAGGCATAGTACGAATTAAGGTGAATATAAAAGTTCTACACCGTTTTATGATATTCGCAATAATTATCGAGATATTAAAAGAAAATTAAAGAAGATTTGTGAATAATCACGCGAGAGATATGGTAGATGAGTTGTAATAGCGACGTCTGCCATCGTGCTTTGTCAAATTGAGCGAAAAAGTTCTCAACTATTCTCCTGATAACTTTGTAGATTTTTAACTATTAATCAAAGAAAAGATCGGCGGATGATCGATAATATATTAGTGTTATCTAATTAACAATTTTTATCCGTCTACCTATATTAATTTATCTATATTAATAACTTATATAATTAATCCGTAGTATGTCTCTACGAGAGCTTTGAAGGTTCTTTTGACACATCCTGTATATGTATATATATTTTTTTGTTTTAAAAACTGAAATATCCATACTTAAAGTCAAAATAATAATATATAAATATATAAAAGTATAATATATAAACATATAAATATATAAAACAATAAGAATATTCAGGATTAGGTATGCATATAGATATTAGTGCTTTTACCTCAATAACAGTAAAAAAAAATAAGTCGCGAAGAGGCTTGCTAGCGAGCCAAATATGGAAGTCAACATGCGCAAAGATTGATCTTATTTCCAATACAAGTTGTCGAGGCAGGACGTTACAATAATCTTCGCGACACTTCAAGACGTCTTTTGTTTAAAAGATGTTACAAAATATTTCCTTGCGCGAGCTCCGTCCTAAACAAATCCGTTCTAAATTATAAGATAAACTTAGGAGAAGCACGATCTGCACTTCGAGAAAAAGAGGAAGTGACGCGCGGTTTCTCGTGATAAAACTCACCAAATTAATCATCAGGCTAATAATGTATGCGTTTAAACCCAATTCAAAACGCTTTAATCTGATAAAGTAAAACGCAAAACTGTCCAAATAATGTACCTGCGAATACGTATAAAAAAGGAACGACGATAAATAATTTATCCAATAAAAGCGATTACTTGGTGAGACCGAGAGATTTTTTGTTAAACACACACAGATAGTGTTTAACCAAAAATAAAAATAAGATAAAAATAAAAGCAGAAGGAAAATCTTGGAACGAATCGTGGAAAAAACAAGAAAATTAATTAAATTAATGATATTGAGTAACTTGCCAATAAGGTCATCAAAAAAGTCACGTAAATATAAAAATTGCCACGATATTGTCCAGAAGACAATGAGAGGAGCCCAAGCCTGTTTAAAGGATTCAGTCCTTAAGACTAACCGAAGATCGAGCGAGTCAGACGGTAATAAATATTCTCGACTGCCTACGAAAGAAACAGAAGCACAACATAGCGAATTTGAAACTACAAACAAATCCTCTCGACGATCGCGGACAATAAATATTGTTCAATATCCAAGAGAGAGAGTTTCGGTAAATACTCCTGGCGAAGTCAATACGTTTGATCACCGTCGATCGATTATCGACAGTTCCCGCGACAAGAGATATGTTTGTAAATAAACGGATTCGCGTCGGGCATCTTCACATTCTTCTGACATGGAATTGTAATCGGCCTTTGAGCTGCGATTCGTGTTCATTACATGATGAGATGAAATACATGGGAATTTGTTTGTTATAAAGTTTATTTCTACAAAATAAAATTTATTTACGGCAAAAGGCAATTTCAGTTTGCACGACTGAATGGGGACACAAAATTCGTGTGTCGAGAAACAATATCTGTGTTAATGGGACCGTAAATGTTCGTCTGAACATTCAGCTGCATTAAAACTCGATCGAAATCATTGAGAGCAATTGACTGTGTCAGTACACGGAAATAAATAATTTTGCTCTTTTAGCAAAAACGTCGTTGCTACTGCATATTCGTAGTGACATCAAAAAAATTTTTGTATAACTGACTGTTGACGTAACTGACATCAAAAAAAATTTGTTGACATAATCAGAGCAGAAGTAGTTTCATTGCCAGGATAGAAAAAGTTGAATGTATTTGTCCTAAATATCACGTTAATTTGCTGTCGATACAAAATAATGTATTCTTAGCAAAGGACCCCGCACAAAACGTATGGAAAATGGTTTTCGGTCAAATTGGCTGAAATTTCACTATGTTATAGTTTTCGCCATGCTGATAAAAAGTTATCATTGCACCAAGTCCCAAAAGTCAATATTTTCCAAGATATAAAGGATCAAAGTAGTGAAATATGGTCATCCGCAGTAGTAAGACGTATAAGTGGTATAAGTTATAAGTACAAGTACATTGATATTTATTCACGAAATAAATAAAAATCGATTTATATATATATATAT